CCCCTCCTGTCCCGTCCCTGTCCCCATCCCCTCCTGTCCCTGTCCCCATCCCTGTCCCCTCCTGTCCCCCCGTCCCTCCCGCCGCTCCCATTGGCCGTTCCCGGTGTCCATCACGTCCCTGTCCCGCCCCCTCAGGAGGGATTTCGGGGCTTTCCATGGCGACAGCTCCAAGGACAAACCCCCCCGCGTCCCCATGGAGCGGGGGACAAGCGCCAAGGGCAGGAATTTCGGGAATTCCGGGAATTCGGGGAATTTTTTGGAGGGGGCTAAGCGCTGCTGAAGGCGTTTCCTCCCCCTCGCCCCTCCAAAACGCCTGGAAAAAATCGGGATTTTAACCTCCCACCGCTTCGTCCGTCTCCTGCTCTGCTTTTCCATCGGGAATTCTGCGGAATTCCAGGATTTTTTTATTTTTATTCCCATTTTTTTTTTCCTTGCCAAGCTCGAAATCCTGACAACCTTGGCCGATAAATGAGGTGAGCGGTGATTTTTTTAATTTTTTCCCCCCCTTTCTGCGGTGCTGCGGGAATGTCCTGACGCCAAAGGTGCTGCTGGAGAAGGGAGGAGGGGGAAGGGAAATGACCCCCCCCCCCCCAAAAAAAAAAATTTAAAAATGCTGGAATTTTTTCCAACCGAGGGGGAAAAAAAAAAAAAAAAATTAAAAAACTAATTTAAAATATTAAAAAAATAATAAATAAAATGGATTTATTTAAATAAATTAAGCGGGGAGGGTTTGGGTGTTGAGGAGGGTTGGAATAACCTGGATTTCTCCAGGTGCGCCGAGGGAGGGAGGAGGGAAAGGAAAAGGAGGGTGGGGGGATGGGATTTATCCTGGAAATCCCAACTTAGGGAAAAGCTTGGCTCGTGATGCAACGGCGGGGAAGGATTGCTGCGGGAGGGTCCCAAATCCCCTCGGAATTTCGGCTGGAATTTCGGGAAAAGCTGCCCATGGTGGGGGGAGAGGCTGGGCTGATTCCAGTGCCTGATTCCAGTGCCTGCTTCCAAAGGCTGCTTCCAAACCCAATTCCAAACCTGGATCCCAAACCTGGATCCCAAACCTGGATCCCAAACCTGGATCCCAAACCCTGATCCCAAACCTGGATCCCAAACCCTGATCCCAAACCTGGATCCCAAACCTGGATCCCAAACCCTGATCCCAAACCTGGATCCCAAACCTGGATCCCAAACCTGGATCCCAAACCTGGATCCCAAACCCTGATCCCAAACCCTGATCCCAAACCTGGATCCCAAACCCTGATCCCAAACCTGGATCTCAAACCTGGATCCCAAACCCTGATCCCAAACCTGGATCCCAAACCTGGATCCCAAACCTGGATCCCAAACCTGGATCCCAAACCCTGATCCCAAACCCTGATCCCAAACCCGATTCCAAACCCTGATCCCAAACCCTGACCCCAAACCCCAATCCCAAACTCTGATCCCAAACCCGGTTCCAAACCCTGATCCCAAACCCTGACCCCAAACCCCAATCCCAAACCCTGATCCCAAACCCTGATCCCAAACTCTGATCCCAAACCCGATCCCAAACCCCGATCCCAAACCCCGATCCCAAACCCCGATCCCAAACCCGATCCCAAACCCCGATCCCAAACCCGATCCCAAACCCTGACCCCAAACCCCGATCCCAAACCCCGATCCCAAATCCTGATCCCAAACCCCGATCCCAAACCCCGATCCCAAACCCGATCCCAAACCCTGACCCCAAACCCCGATCCCAAACCCCGATCCCAAACCCGATCCCAAACCCTGATCCCGTTCCCAACCCTGTGGCATCCCCAATGGCAGGATCCCACGGCAGGATCCCTTTGGCAGGATCCCAATGCCAGGATCCTCACAGGAGGATCCCACGGCAGAATCCCTCAGCCAGATCCCTCTGGCTCCAGGATCCCTCGGCTGGATCCCTCTGGCTCCAGGATCCCTTGGCTGGATCCCTCTGGCTCCAGGATCCCTCGGCTGGATCCCTCAGCTGGATCCCGAGGTCAGATCCCTGTGCTGAATCCCATTGGCTCCTGGATTCCCCAGCCAGATCCCTCTGACAGGATCCCTTTGGCAGATCCCTCAGTTGGATCCCTCTGGCAGATCCCTCTGTCTCCAGGATCCCTTGGCCGGATCCCTCTGGCAGGATCCTGAGGTCAGATCCCTCAGCCAAATCCCTTTGGCTCCTGGATCCCTCGGATGGATCCCGAGGTCAGATCCCTTTGCTGAATCCCATTGGCTCCTGGATTCCCCAGCCAGATCCCTCTGACAGGATCCCTTTGGCAGATCCCTCAGCCGGATCCCTCTGTTGGATCCCTCTGTTGGATCCCCCCGGCAGATCCCGCCATTCCCAGCCTTACATAACGCTCCAGATTCCCGCGATCCCGCCGGCAGCCGGGATAATCCCCCCATGGCCGTTCCCATGGCAACCGGCAGCATTCCCACCTTCCCGCGGGATCCCTCGGCAGCCTCCCGGGGTGGGCCCGGGCCCGGAGGGAGGGGGAGACGGGAATCCGGGAATCTGGGAATCTGGGAATCTGGGAATCTGGGAATCTGGGAATCCGGGAATCCTGGAATCTGGGATTCTGGGAATCCAGGAATCCGGGAATCCAGGAATCTGGGAATCTGGGAAGCTGGCAATCCGGGAATCTGGGAAACCGTGAATCTGTGAATCCGGGAATCCGGGAATCCAGGAATCCTGGAATCCGGGAATCCGGGAATCCGGGAAACCGGGAATCTGGGAATCCAGGAATCCAGGAACCTGGGAATCTGGGAATCCGGGAATCTGTGAATCCAGGAATCCAGGAATCCGGAAATCCGGGAATCCAGGAATCCAGGAATCCGGGAATCTGGGAAACCGGGAATCCGGGAATCTGGGAATCCGTGAATCCAGGAATCTGTGAATCCAGGAATCCAGGAACCCGGGAATCTAGGAATCCAGGAATCCGGAAATCCGGGAATCCAGGAATCCTGGAATCCGGGAATCTGGGAATCCGGGAATCTGGGAATCGAGGAATCCGGGAATCCGGGAATCCAGGAATCCGGGAATCCAGGAATCTGGGAATCCGGGAATCCGGGAATCCGGGAATCCGGGATTCTGGGAATCCAGGAATCCGGGAATCTGGGAATCCGGGAATCTGGGATTCTGGGTATCCGGGAATCCGGGAATCCGGGATTCTGGGAATCCAGGAATCCGGGAATATGGGAATCCGGGAATCTGGGATTCTGGGAATCCGGGAATCCGGGAATCCAGGAATCCAGGAACCCGGGAATCCGGGAATCCAGGAATCCGGGCATCCGGGAATCCGGGAATCCGGGAATCTGTGAATCCGGGAATCCGTGAATCCGGGAATCTGTGAATCCGGGAATCCTTCACTTCCCGATCCCGGGAACGAGGCCTGGGATGGAGCTGGATCCCCGGAATCTCCAATTCCCGCCAGGATTTATCCCTGGAAGTGCCAGAGAGGTCGGATTTTGCGATTCCAGAGGGATTTTCCAGCCTTAATTCCGTAATTCCAGGAGGGTTTCTTCGCATATCCACCAGGATCTCCAACCTGGGGGGATCCAGCTGCTGGAATCGGGGCTGAATCCCTTTTTTCCACAGATTTTCCGTGTTTTTCCACATTTGTCCATGTTTTCCCACGTTTTCCCATATTTATCCACATTTTTTCCACATTTTTCCCCCCATTTTCCCACATGTTTTCCCACATTTTTTCCATTTTTCCCCCATATTTCCTCCCACCTTTTCCCACACATTTTTGCCCCCGTTTTCCCACGAATTTCCCCCCATTTTTCCCACATTTCCCACACATCTTTCCCACATTTTCCCACGCATTTTTTCCCACCTCTCCCCCCATTTTTCCCATTTTTTCCCACCTTTTCCCCCATTTTTCCCACTTTTTCCCCCATTTTCCCCATGCAATTTCCCCCATTTTTCCCACCTTTTCCCATTTTTTCCCACTTTTTCCCCATTTTTCCTCCTTCTCCCCCATTTTTCCCCCTTTTTCCCACCTTTTCCCCCCATTTTCCCCACTTTTTCCCCATTTTTCCCATCTCTCCCCCCATTTTTCCCATGCAATTTCCCCCATTTTTCCCACCTTTTCCCATTTTTTCCCACTTTTTCCCCATTTTTCCTACTTCTCCCCCATTTTTCCCACTTTTTCCCACCTTTTCCCCCCATTTTTCCCACTTTTTCCCCATTTTTCCCATCTCTCCCCCCATTTTCCCCATCTTTTCCCCCGTTTTTCCCAGCTCTCCCTCCATTTTTCCCCCTTTTTCCCCCCTTTTCCCCCCATTTTCCCCACTTTTTCCCCATTTTTCCTACTTCTCCCCCATTTTTCCCACTTTTTCCCCATTTTTCCCATCTCTCCCCCCATTTTCCCCATCTTTTCCCCCGTTTTTCCCACCTCTCCCTCCATTTTTCCCACTTTTTCCCACCTTTTCCCCCCCCTTTTCCCACTTTTTCCCCATTTTTCCCATCTCTCCCCCCATTTTTCCCATGCAATTTCCCCCATTTTTCCCACTTTTTCCCCATTTCTCCCATCTCTCCCCCCATTTTCCCCATCTTTTCCCCCATTTTTCCCACCTCGCCCTCCATTTTTCCCACTTTTTCCCACCTTTTCCCCCATTTTTCCCATGCAATTTCCCCCATTTTCCCCCCGTTTTTCCCATGAAATTTCCCACTTTTTCCCCACTTTTTCCCACTTTTTCCCACTTTTCCCTCCTTCCCCAGGGATCACCATGCTGACCAGCATCACCGACGGCTTCCTCTGCTGCCTCCTGGGCAAGACCCCCAACGCCGTGGCCCCTCTGGACAGCGTTGAATCCAGCGACGGCTTCACCTTCCTGGAAGTGAAACCCGGCCGGATCCTCCGGATCCGCCACGACGTTCCCAACCGGCCGGAATTCCCTCCGGAACCTCCGGAGCCGGCGGAGCGCGGCGCCGTGCGCTGCAAGCGCCGCATCACGCTCTACCGCAACGGGCAGCTCCTGATCGAGAACCTCTCCGACGCCGCTCACCAAAACCCCGATCCCAACGCCGAGCAGGAAAACTCGGATCCCTCCGGAACCCCGGCGACGCCCGGGAAGCGTCGGAAGCGCAAACCCAAGAAGGTGGTGACGGTGGATTGCGAGAAGCGCATCACCGGCTGCAAGGGCGCGCACGGCGACGTGGTGCTCTTCTTCATCCACGGCGTGGGCGGCTCCTTGGACATCTGGAAGGAGCAGCTGGAATTCTTTTCCAAGCTGGGATACGAGGTGGTGGCGCCGGATTTGGCGGGGCACGGCTGCAGCTCGGCGCCGCCCGTGGCCGCCGCCTACACCTTCTACGCCTTGGCCGAGGACATGAGGGTGGTGTTCAAGCGCTACGCCAAGAAAAGGAACATCCTGGTCGGGCATTCCTACGGGTAAAGGGATGGGATCGGGATTGGGAACGTCCCGGGAAATGGGAATGGTCGTAAATCCCGCGGTTTAGGGGCTCACGTTCTTTCTACGCCGTTTATTTCCCATTTTTTGTCACGTTTTTGTCACATTTTTATCCCATTTTTATCCCGTTTTTATCCCATTTTTATCTCATTTTTATCCGATTTATATCCCATTTATATCCCCCTTATCCCATTTTTATCCCATTTTTATCCCATTTTTATCTCATTTTTATCCGATTTTTATCCCATTTATATCCCATTTATATCCCATTTTTATCCCATTTTTATCCCATTTTTATCCCATTTTTATCCCATTTATATCCCACTTATCCCATTTTTATCCCACTTATCCCATTTTTATCCCACTTATCCCATTTTTATCCAATTTATCCCATTTTTATCCCATTTATATCCCACTTATCCCATTTTTATCCCATTTTTATCCCACTTATCCCATTTTTATCCAATTTATCCCATTTTTATCCCATTTATTCCATTTTTATCCCTTTATATCCCACTTATCCCGTTTTTATCCTGTTTTTAACTGTTTTTGTCCAATTTTTATCCCTTTTATCCCATTTTTATCCCATTTATCCCATTTTTATCCCACTTACCCCATTTTATCCAAATTATCCCATTTATAACCCATTTATACCCCACTTATCCCAATTTTTGTCCCATTTTCACCCCATTTCTCCCATTTTTACCCTACTTACCCCATTTCTCCCATTTTTACCCCACTTACCCCATTTCTCCCATTTTTATCCCATTTTTGTCCCATTTTTACCCCATTTTTACCCCCTTTTTACCCCATTTACCCCATTTTTATCCCATTTACCCCATTTTTATCCCATTTTTACCTCATTTACCCCATTTTTATCCCATTTTCACCTCATTTATCCCATTTTTACCCCACTTACCCCATTTATCCCATTTTTACCTCATTTTTGTCCCATTTTTATCCCATTTACCCCATTTTTACCCCGTTTTTACCCCGTTTTTCCCATTTCCACCCCGTTTTTCCCATTTTCACCCCATTTCTATCCCATTTCCACCCCGTTTTTCCCGTTTCCACCCCGTTTTTCCCGTTTCCACCCCGTTTTTCCCATTTCCACCCCGTTTTTCCCATTTCCACCCCGTTTTTCCCGTTTCCACCCCGTTTTTCCCGTTTCCACCCCGTTTTTCCCGTTTCCACCCCGTTTTTCCCGTTTCCACCCCGTTTTTCCCGTTTCCACCCCGTTTTTCCCGTTTCCACCCCGTTTTTCCCGTTTCCACCCCGTTTTTCCCGTTTCCACCCCGTTTTTCCCGTTTCCACCCCGTTTTTCCCGTTTCCACCCCGTTTTTCCC